AAACACAGTTTGATATACACGCCAATCCTCCCTCCTATCCAAGTCGACCCGCACAAACCCGCTAACACGCCAAAACCCACAACCCGCTATCACGTAACCCATGCATGTTTTTTTTGTTTAACTTTTATAAAGCAAAATAAAGTCCACAGAAGCGATGTTGGACAAAACATGGTTTTGATAATGCTTGCCAATAGGGCTGCAAACGAACCGAGCCGAGTCGAGTATGTGAGTGTTCATGTTTGTGTTCATTTAATATCAGCTTAGTGTTCAAGTTTGTTTATTTAAGAATCGAGTATTTAAAATATTGTTCAAGTTTGTTTGTTTAGTTAATTAAATGATTACAAATGAGCTTTAATCGAACCGAACAACGAGTAGCTCGTCGAACGTTTGGTTCGCTTGCAGCCTTACTTGCCAAGCAAAATAGAGAACGAAGGAGACACGAGACGCGGGCCTTAAACTAGACTAGATTTTAAACAAAACTTTAGCAAGTTTCGATCTAATTTAATAAATTTAACTTAACAATAATTATTAAAACTATTTATTTTATTTTATTTAAAAATACTTAATTTGCTTAATTTAATTTATTTATTTTAATTTGACAACAACTTATTAAATTAGTTAATTTAATTTTAAAATATTTATTTTTAAAACTATTTGATAATACTTATTAAATTAGTTAATTTAACTTAATAATAATTATTAAAATCATTAATTTAATTTTTTTTTTGAAATTATGTAACAATATTCATTAAATTAGTTAATTAGCTAAATTTCTTAATTTAGTCAAATTAAATTACTTAATTTATTTTCCTGAAAATTTTAAAGTTCGTCGGAAATTTTTCATTTTAAATCCGCCGGAAATATGTTGAAAGTCCGTTGGAAATCTGACACAAATCCATTGGAAATATTCCGCCGGAAATCCGTAGGAAAATCTACAGGAAATCAGTCGAAAAATCCACCATAATTTTTGACGTAAAATTTGTGCCATTAATTTGTATTTTTCCTATAGCAATGAAACTAAAACTTATAAAACTGAAATTGAGTTTTATGAATTTTACCCACTACTCCTATAAAGGATAATTTGGCACTCTTTATAGTGATACGCTAGACCCACACGGGTGAGTTGTGAGTATAATCCATTTGCATAGATAGGGCATTCTTGAGCATTTTTTAAGAAATTAGAGCTTTTGAAATAGGAGACTGAGATGAGTGAGTTTCTTCCCTCGGCCAAGAAAATTTATACCTGGAGAAGAGATAAAGAGTTATGCAAAATTTTGTAGTTCTCAATTTTTTGGATTTTTTTTTTTTACAAATTTCAACAAATTTTTTATTCTATATGTTTTATTTAATTAAAAAGATATTTTTTTTAACATTTTTGATTAAAAATAGTTCAAAAGTACTAAGTTGAATTAAAAAAAAAATAAATTATTGCTGAAAAAATACAAAAACTAGAATAAAAATCAAACTATGTTGCATATAAAAATAAATTGAACATGTGCATGCAGTGTCTGCCAACGGTGACTGGAAGGTTGGCTAGCCTGTCTCATTCTAGGCCCGATTTCAGGCCTAGGTAGTTTTCTTGTTAGCATTTTGGGCACATGGGATCATTTTTTAATATCCTACACTAGGGTTGTCAAAATCGGGTCACAGGTCGAGTTTGGGTCCAACCCGGAATTGACCCGACCCGCTTCAGACCCGGGTCAACCCGACAAGATCCGCAACCTGTTATCGTCTTTACGTTCGATCTAACAAAAAAAGGCGAGTGACGACCCAACTGGAAGGAACGTCGTGAAGGAGGCATTAGTTGCCTTTGCAAATCGACATTGACCCACTATTTTTTGACACGACTCGAATTTGACCCGTTTTTGTAGACATGGTAGAAAAGGCAACCTGGACCCGACCCGTATGGTTTGACCCAACACGAAACCCTAGCTAAGCATCCTCTTGTAGGGGAAATTTCGATGTATCGCATGTTGGAATGCGCGAGGGAATGTCCTGTCATCGTCGTTGCTTCCTCCTACCATTATCGTTGCTTCCGATCCAACAACAAAACAGTGTTTTCTTTGCTTTCGTCATCGTTGCTTCCACCTGTCATCGTCATTACTTCTGATCCAGCTACAAAACTGCATTTTCCTTGCCATTATCGTCGTCACTTCCGATCCAACTGCAGATGAACGGCCGATTGAGAGCTGAATTGTTGTGTCTTCTGACCTATATTTCTATGAATGTCAAGCAAGTACTAGCTACTGTCATAGTCGACATTGTTTCCAATCCAACTGTAGATGAATGGATACTTGTCTGCCAAATGATAATATATGGTATTTTATTATTTTTCAGACACCAAAAATGTCAAGGGAGCACTAGCTCAGTTGTCGTTGTCAAAGGAGTCGAAGAATAGCAGGAGAAGAGGAAAAGCAAACCCTAATAATCAGGTTTGTGCGGGACTGCGGGAAAATTGTCGCCGTTGCTTCTGATCCAACTGCAAATGAACAATGGGAGTGCAACCGAAGTTACGAACTGCAGAGGAATCAGGTCTGTAAGGGTCATATATGAGTCAATTTTGGGTTGGCGGGTTGATCCGGACCTGACCTGATTTTGTAATTGGGTCAATTTTGGGAACCCTAATCCAACCCATCTACCAAACAGTTTGACCATAACCCGAAATTTTTAGGTCGGGCTTTCGGGTCGTGTCAAATATTGACACCCCTACGAGCAACGCAGCTCCCTCCCTCTCAAGTCCCATCGTCGTCCTTACTTTTGATCCAACTCCAGAAGCACTGAAGTAGAACGACGAGCTCCCTCCAATTGTCGTCATTACTTCTGATCCAACTACAAAACCAAATGGCGAGCTCAGCTATTGTGGTTTTTGATCTGATAGGAAGGAACATCATTGAAGGAGGCGAAGAATGGATGGAGAAGAAAAAAAAAACAAACCTTACTCCCTAGCTTAGGCCTTCACTTGAGGACGTCGAGACCGCGCATGTGCAAGTGCAAGCCAACTAGCAGTGAACTGGTGGAGGAATCGGGTCTGGGAGGGGTAATCGAGTCAAATCTGGGCCAATTTCTTATTAGCGGGTTAACCAGGACCGATCCCGATTTTTCAAATAGATCAATTTTTGGAATCCGAACTTGACCCATCTACCAAATAGGTTGACCCCAACCCAAAATGGGTTGGGGTCGAGTTCGGGTTGTGTCAAATATTGTACACTTAATTTTGTCATTTTTGTATCCAAATCGAGCCTTTATGATCAATTTTAACCAAATTTGAAGAATTTAGAGCACATTATTTAATAATTTTGTTCTAATCGATGATTTAACTTCAAGGAAGGCTCAAAGGTCCACATTTATATTCAATGAACAGTTGCATCTTATAATTTTTCTAACAATGTAATTTTGCATTTATAATCATATGAAAGACTCAATATATATTTTCAAAGGGTATAAGATTCAACATTTGAAAATAGAGATAAATGATATATCTCCAAAATTTTCGCTTAATCAATACAAATCTCAAGGTAATATTTGAGTTGAAAACTTATAAAATTAAATTCAAGGTCATCCAAAATTTTGCTTCTACAAACCTACATATGAATTGAATATGTTGACATGACAAAACTACTGATACCAAAGGTGCTTTGATTGGAGTGCGAATGAGCCCAAATCAAGCACATAAAGGTGGTTGGACCTCGATTATTAATTGAAGGATTAAATTATCATCAAATCTTACATGTTTATAGTCAAATTGATTTGACAAGATGGGTCCAACAAGCCGACAGTCATTTAATTTTGATTTCTTGAAGGCATTGAAATGTAAAATAAATGATATATGATCAAATGAATAAAAAAGGGTTATTTGATTGAGTGTTATGAAATCTTGGTTGAATTTATAAAATAACACTCCTAAACGACTATAAATAGACCCTAACTCTCCACATGATGAGGGTAAATAATAGACATTGAAGAGAGATTAGAGATCTGAAAAAACTCTAAAGCTTTAACCATCATTTGATGTTGACAATCACTGCTAGCTATTGCCATCACTTGCTAGCGTCGCTGGACCACTATCACCTAATCCTCATTGTTTGACATTGTCTAGTTGTTATAGTATGTTTTCTATCATCTGATTGTTGTTGCCTGACTGTTGTTGTCTAACTACTATGACCTAGTTGTTGTTGTTTGTTTTCTATTGTCTGACTTACATTATATGACTACCATTATCATCTCTTCACTATTTTTTTCATTGTCTCAATTAAACTTATAGAAGAACAAGAATGCGCTCTCAATGTTGTGGCCTTATCTTCTCCAATTGTGGGGGCGAGCAAACTTCTTTAACTCCAAGTATATTGTGGATTATTTCAATTGGGCTAGATCTCGTGGTTTTTTTTTCTTTGCTGATTTTTCACATAAAAACTCTAATATGCTAAGTATTTTTTCTTATTTATCTCTGTGTGCTAGATCATTGTGCAAATATTCGATGTAAAACTTTTACTCTATAGCTGTGAATGTTTTACTGCATAATAATGGACAATAGAAGCTAGCAATGGGCTTAAATCACATTTTTAGTCCTACCTCTAAATTTAATGTTGGGAAAGTTGCAAATTTCCTTTTTTGAAACATGTTTATAACTTTTTCTCATTTGACTTTATACAATCTGTTGATGAATTTTTGCTCAGAGGCTAATTTAACGTTTATTGGAAGGACTTCAAGAAAATCTTTATTTTCTTACAGCAGCATAATCGCGTAATAGTAATTAGATGAGGTAATTTAAAAATTCTAACAAAAGAAGCATTGTTAACAGTTACAAAGCCTGAATGTTCAGTGTAATTAATCAATATTACCGAAAAAACGCTCAGGAATATTAACTTGGCAATTACTGTCAAATTGTCAGCATTAACTGGTTCATATATATGGTAATAAAATTTGAAAAAAATGTGAAAGTAAACATACAAGTAAAAATTAAAAATGTTAACATATTTGAGAGTTGAAATAAATGGTGCTACCTGTGTATCCTTGGATGGAACCGCGGACTCAGATGCAGTATAGCTGCACTTTTGGTACCTCCCAAGGGTTTTTGTCATGCTGCAATCAAAGTTAGAAGAATATAGAGATTCATGAATCATTCAATGTCCATTCTGCCACATAAATATGTAAATTATCTTATCAAAGTAAAGAATGCATTATGATTAGATTCTACCGTTAAACGTCAAATAACAATGCAGAAGAACTAGCTACAATGAAATTATAACAGAATAATGTTGTGTTAAGAAACTTATTGTGAATTTTTCATGGTGATGCACTTGTCTATATTCTTAGATAACGTCTTAAGAGTTCAAGAGTCACAATGGGTTCTTGATGCCTTAGAAATCACGATGATCATTTAGGACTCTTTTAAAGGAAGATCCTTCGAAGAGAGGCTTCCAAGTGACCTTTGGATGGAAAAAACCGTTGGTGTTGGCTTCCTCTTTATTCTAAACTATTGTGATGGATTCCCTTTCTGGGCCTGTGTCAGATTCAGTCCAGTTTCCTGAACATGTACTTCTTGACATCCAATTATTCATTGCACCATGAAGATCCACCTTTACTTTCTGCTATTTTGCTTATGGAGCTCCTTCCAATATCCCCTCCATAGCCTGCTGAAAATGTATGATTGCAAGTAGGCAGCTTATACAGTTTATTTTGATACACAGCATAGAGTATTGCACCAATGTGATTTGATGTTTGCCTTGGATGACATCATATCATATGCAATATTACCTGATAGAAGTTCGTATTGAGAGCCTTAGTTTTTATTTCTGGTACATTTACATATATTTGTTAAAGCACTAATAGGATGCAATGGAACAGCTAAAATCATTGAATTTATTATACTTCTACTTTTCTCTTTTACTAAGTTAACATTTTTTGGTGGACAAATCCGTCGCAGAATAAAGAAAATCGGTCGCAAAATACGGTTTGCGTCGAAATATAATATGACGCAAAAAGTGACGGAAAAAATCCGCCGCAAGTTTTTCCAACAGATTTGTGATAGATTTTCTGCGGAATTTTAGCCAAAAAAAAATCACAAATTCTGTCCAGCCGAGCGGACTGACCATTGTCTGCGGCTGACCAAACTGCCCGAGCCTGATCGGATTGCCCACTGCCCGTGCCTGACCGCACTTCTTGTGCCTGACCGGCTGTTGAACCCTGCTCTACTCGTCAAAAATCATTGCCCTTATCCACTCGGTCGAGGAGACAAAACAATATAAAAAACTTATTTTTTGTTTTAATTTATATTATAACTTATCTTGGACGGATTTGTGGCGGCAATTTTTGCCGCAAATTCGAGGCGGGAATTGCTGCCACAATCCATTTCAATTCCTCCGTAAGAAAATCGTTGAAAATTTTCATAGCAAATTTGTAACCATTTTCAACAAAAAAATAATCCACCGTAAAATTCGCTGCATACTGCTAACTTTTTTGATGTGATTTTAACAAACACCTTACCTTTAAGAACTAGTTTTCTATAAACATCAATCATTCATTAACCATGGTAAAAGTCTTATGGAACTCCTCCATGATGAAATAATTAGGTATTATAAAGGGCGCTGTTGGACAATTCCTTAACATTGAGTGATGCCAAAAATTTAAAGAAAAGACATGACAGAAAGTTGATTTCATGACATACAGTTTTGAATTAATTTTTTTGATGAAGCAACATGGAGCAATGTATCAAGTTTTTATATATTGGTATTGGAAAGTTGCATAAGGGGACCTTTTACTCGAACTAATTGAACGATTTGTGCAGATAACATTGCCTTAATGGAAGAAAAAAGACTTCTTATATATGATATATTTGAATGCCCTAAAAAAAATTACTGACACGTTGATTTCATCAATACTCAAAGCCAATTCCAAAGTCATGCTCATAAACTTATGTGAATGATAAATTAGAACTCATGGAAAGGAAAAAAAAAAACATAACTTCTGATCTAACTCTAGCATATTCAGCACATGAAATATTTGAACAAATTGTAACCGCTCAAATTTTTAACTATCAAGGTATTATCAGTTCTGACTTAATGGCCTCACAGTTTTATCTTGTTGGGTTAACTTTTTAGGAGGTTATCATCCAAGTATTGCTCCAGCACGAGCATGCTTAATAATGGAGTTTTTTAATGAAATTCTAACTATTACACCAAAAGATACCTTTATGCGTAAAAATTTAAATTTTTTTAGTTAAGAGATTACACACAAATAATATCAAATATTAATTATCATGTAACATTCATTAACTATGTAATGCTCTTTAATTTTTTTATCTAATTGCCATCGGTATACTATTCATGATTAAAGATTGAAGAGTAAGACTTTCAAAAGTACATCCTACATTAAACTTAACCATCAAATCTAAATAAAATTATAAGATCTTAAATTAGAGCTATCTAATATCATCTATCAATATTAAACAGCAAAATAGATTCTATAATTCAAAATATATACACATCTATATTTATTCCCAAAAATCATATACAATACTTGGAATCTATGCAATCATATCATAACTATTATGTCCTAATTACAAAAGAAAAAAAAAAAACTGAAGAATCTTGACCAACCTCACACCCCTGTTTTCCTACTCTAATTTGAAATCATTTAACCACATTTAATGAGCTTAAAAAATCCAGCTGGTCATCAAAATTTACAACTGAAATCATAGCATAACAAAAGAGCAATATGCATATCAACAGTCAAATCATAATAGTTGCATCTATATGATCATTGAATCAATGAAAAAATAATGAAGTTTACATACAATAATAGTATAATATATAAAATACTACAGTATGGAAGTCAGTAAAATAATAAATTATTATGAGTGTCAAATCTATAAAGCAATCGTTGTATTGTAATATCAATCAGTACAAAAATCATATAAAGTATCAAATCAAAACATCGATAAAGACTGTCGAAATCATATCAATACAATACAATTATAGAAGTATAATCATACTATTAATGTATTATATATCACGTGCTTAATATATCACATGTTTAATATCAGTATAGTGAATCAGTAGTATCAAATAATATATGTATCTAAATAATAGGTAACAATAACAATCCAGTGGCAGTAATATAATAATGCAATAACAGTAAATTCGTGCAGTAACCATAAATTCATAAAATAATAAGAAAAATGCATCAAGAATATGCATTTAAGTAGTCACATTAAATAAGTAAGAAATTATGGCTATCACGATATTTTTCAGTGTTAGTATCAATATTAATAAACTGTTGGTTTGCTAAATAGAGTCGTCACTCTTTGTACGTCGGCACAGTAATAATCTCCTTATGACTCCCAATAAGTCTATCACGTGAATTAATATAGGATAACACCAAACAACTTTATTTAAAGGAAAACATGTTGGCCAACCATCCTGTACAGATTACTCAGTATCCAACCAACAGGTCAACCAATCTTTACTTATCTTTTATACGACACGGATATTATTATCAAAAGATTAAAATAGTAATAACAACTAGCTTCGTTTATAATATATTGCAACAAATAAAGCATAATTGAGCATAATTTAGAAAATGCTAAAATGTACTAACACTAGATAATAAAAATCATACTAAGCAAAAATTTACATTTTTAGAATTTGACAAAATTAACAAATATTATATAAAATAATATTTTGAAGCTTTAGTTAAATAAAATCACTATTTTTAGACATCAAAATAAATTTCTACTAGATAAAAATCGATTTACTTTCAAAATCACTAGGTGAAAAATCTTAAATAAATATTCTAAATATTCATAATCTCGATCTCTATAATATAAAAAAGTTACACGATGAAAATTTTATCAATATAAAGTTATTCACGTCTTTCGATAATATAAACACAAATTTGATTAGAAAATATCAAAAATACAAAATCTTTGAAATAAAAAATAGGGTAAATCATTTATGGCTTCAAGCATTATAAAAAAATATTTATAAAATAAATTGTTTTATTTAAAAAATATCGATGAAATCAATTTGTAAAAACGGACACCTAAAGATCCTGAAATCCTCATTTGTACCAACAAGTACCAATTTCTTAAGGATTTTCATCAGTGCCTAAAAATTACGAAAAAATCTGTGTAAATAAAAAACTACGATCAAAATGCTCTGTCGAAAATGGATTACGATTTGGAGTTATAATGACTTCAAAAAAAATTGGTAAAATCAAAATTGGTGTTATTACACAATGATTCGAGACTTCGAGTGACATGAAGATACTGACGAGACAGGTCACGTACTCACTGGCACGTGGGATGTTTTTGGGTAAAATTGTGTTGATTTTTGGTTTCCGGGCCAATCCAAACCTGACCCGATTTTACAAAAGGGTCGAAATCCCTAAACTGAACCCGACCTGATTATTGTTCAATTCAACCTAAACCCAAAATTTTCGAGTCGGATTTTTTTATTGTGTCAAATATTACCCCTGACCAGAAGGTTGGTATGATTATAGTCTTCTGCCGCACCAAATTAATGGAAGAGATTTTGTTTGGCTTTTTGATGTAGAACGGGTAGGAGGGCTCTGCTAGGAAGAGGATCTCTTCTTCAAAATCTGACAGCAAGTTCTGATTTCTTGCCCAAAACCTGAGAAGAATCCTCTCAGATTCTCTTACTGGAATTGGTGGACAGAAAGCTGTCCTTCTTGGACAGCAATTGGAAAAAAAAAAAGCACTCCTGCTGGTCGGGAGGCTAGGGGAAGATGCTGGAGTTCCACACTTCAATGTCCGGAAATCCTCGGGCAGCAGTTGAAGCCTTCTCCAAACATCTGGACAGCAAGGAGGGCAGTTAGAATTCCTGGACAGCACCTGTACAGGGAGTAAACAGCTGCTAGGGTCCCGTCTGGATTGCTGAGCTATTGCTGAGTTTGGGAGTCCGGGTAGCTTTCCTTTCAATCCAGAATTTTTGGACAGATGTAGAACTATTCAGAACTAGGTGGGGAAACTAATGAGTGGAGAGAATTTTGCTTAAGGTTAGGGAAAATCAAAGGGGCAGCAGCTTAGGTTGAGATTGGGTGGGGAATTAATGAGAGTAATT